AATGACAAGTTCTTATCAAAAAAAATAATAATAATAAACTAGCACATGGTTTAATAATAAAATGAATTCTTTAAATTATCTTTTTAAAAATGAATTTTGTAAATAATCTCTCACACATTAATTTTATATTATGTTATATTAAATTATTGTATTTGATAGACTACATTCAGATAGAAGTGACAATGGGCCGAATCCATGCGTACGAGCTCGGCTCGTGCTCGTCACGAGTCGAGCTCATGGCTCGTTTATAACGACCCCAGCTTCTGCTCGGCTCGTGGCTTGTGGTCGAGCCGTGAGCTTGTAGCTCGCGGGCCAAGTCGAGTTTCGATGCGCGAGCTCGTCCATTTTTCAAATTTTTTTAAAAGATAAACCTTTTTTTTAAAAAAAAAAAGAAAAAGAAAAGATAAAACCTCATGAGCGAGCCGAACCGTCCATGAGCCGACGAACCGCTCGATTCGTTTACCACCACTATATTGAGAAAGTTATTTTGAGAGAGAGAAAGAGAGAGGAAAAAGTCACCTCCACCCATTAAAATGTCTCCTAATTATATCATTATTATATAGAATAAAATAAGGGAGAGAAGTATAGGATGATGTCATTTGTACCTTTTGATGCTTACATTTTTATTGACATTGTCTTCGTTATAAAAAAGTGATTGATTGAAAATTTACTTTTTTAATTGTCAAATCACAATTTTTCATGTGTAAAATTTGGTCAAAGTGTACACCAAGCATGGTTGAAAAATATATTATTGCCCAATTGCTTTGCAACTATCTATTCACGAAATTTTGGAGAATGGATAACAAAAGTATATTTTCTTTGTTGAAACTTAATAAGTGAAAATATTAAGTTCTAATAATTTAGAATTATTGTTTGTAAGTAATTGATGTAAGTAATTAATCAATTATGAACAACTCAATCTAGGCGAAAATAAGGTAATTACAATCAGAAAAATAGAGGAAACCACCTAGACCCTAAATACCTACCCCTTATGTTTGTATAAATTTAAAAATAGTTAGTAAGTTATTTCTATTTAGTCTGTTGGGAGTAAACCTAGTTCCACATCAGCTGGACATGATAAATATGATGAGTTTATAAGTGTAGGACAATACCCATGAGGAAATTACATAAATCCGGGTAACTAAAGATTACTTTTTAAAAATCAGGTGCAAAATTTATTTATTCAAAAATCAGGTAATATAAAAACCCTAACCCTAATCCCCAAACAAAACATAAATCTATTCTCTCCTCCTCCTCTTCGATTATCATCACTCACACTCTCTCTCTACCCTCTCCCTTACAGCCGTCGGAGTGGAGCAGCGACATCGCGCAGATCTCTCTCACAGACGTCGGGAACTGCATTGCTCCTCCTAAGGGTTTTTGGGCCTTCTGATTTCATTTATGGTGTCCATTCGCCAAAATTTGACCAAAAGGGGTTGAATCGAGTGATTTGTGCCTCGCGAAATCCCAATGCAAATCTTTTGGTTTTTGGTTCAAATATGCTATTGTTTGTTGATTCTATGGATTAGGTGTTATTGATGGTAGTTTCCGTTGGTTGGTGGTGAATTCTATTGTCGATGGTTCAAATTTGCTATATGTTTTTTTTCTGTTGGATGGTGGTGTTTTCCATTC